GGAGCCCCCAAGCTGTGCTTGGCTTGGCAGAGGATGCTTCTGCTGCAGAACAGCAACTTCCCGTCCAATATGCATCTGCTTCAGGGGGACCTCGGTGTCGCCAGCAGTCTCCTCGTGGAGGGAGCGACTGGTGGGAAAGTAGCTCAGCTCAAGATCACCCAACGTCTTCGTCTGGACCAGCCCAAGCTGGACGAGGTCAATCGTCGCATCAAAGTGGCGGGTCCCAACGGCTACGCCATCCTTTTGGCTGTGCCTGGCGCATCAGACAACCGCTCCGCAGCCGGAGCTGCCGAGGCCACCACCACCTCCACCCAGAGGCCACTCAGGAATCTGGTGTCCTATCTAAAGCAAAAGCAGGCTGCTGGGGTGATCAGCCTCCCTGTGGGGGGTAACAAAGACAAGGAGAACAGCGGGGTCCTGCACGCCTTTCCGCCCTGCGATTTCTCCCAGCAATTCCTGGACTCCACGGCCAAGGCGCTGGCCAAATCAGAGGATGACTATCTGGTCATGGTCATTGTCCGTGGGGCGTCCTAAGGCCCTCGTGTTCTCTGTACCCAACCCTGCCTACTCCTCCACACAGCCCCTCCAGCGTGTGCCAGGTGCTATGGGATACAGCCTTAGCCAGCCCTGTCATTATTTTAAATTAGATCTTTGTTTGTAGGTGATTTTCCCCGCCCGTTTTTCTGTTACTACATTTTTCTATAAAGTTAGAAGCCAGAAAGGTCGGTTAGCCGTTAGCGTGAATAGGGTATTTTGAGAATCCCCTATGGGTGGGGATAGCAGGGAGGCTAGGCCTGCTTTGATTTACAGAGAAAAAAAAAAAAAAAAAAGAATAAAAGAGGAAAAAAAAAAACAAAAACGGGAGGGGGGAGGGGGAGGGGGGAAGAAGAAACTCCCATCTTAAATTTTGATTCGCGTCCTTTTTTCATTTCACGTGTTTTAAAGCGAGTTCAATAGCTCATATCCTCGATAGAGTTACAAACCTAAAAGACCAGATTTAAAGCACTCAGTAGTTTAAATGGAAAACCACATACTTACTAGCGGACTGGTGTCAGCTCATTATTATTATTATTATTATCATTTTTTTTTTTTAAAGTCCTTGAAATTCCGTGCCGGCCTCAGGCCAGCGGCCCTTCGGCTCGCGCGATCCCTCTCCTCAGGAGCCTGAATGGTTTCCCTTTGAGTTGCGTGGCTCAAGGTTGATGGCTTTCAGGTGACCAGCACCTGCTCTCGGGTACACTGCAGAACATTTAATTCCTTTCTCGGGTGTTTGATAATTTCAACCAGCCCCTCAAAATGCATGCACTGAAAGTATGCTTTTTTTAACAGGTGTATTTCTCCTATTTCTCGGAGTTCTGTTGTATCCCATATATGCACTTTGGGTTTGTAGCAGTGACAATGTTTGGTAAATAGCTGAGGACTTTGTTACAAACCATGAATGTCTTGTGCTTACTCTGGTATGCAAGAAACAAGGAGGTGCTTTAAGAATAACTTTAGTTTGTTGTGGTTTTTTGTTTTTACTGCCTTTTTTTTTTTTTTCTCAAAGAGTTGCAGGTACAGTGGGGTCTGGTTCCACAGTGCAAACTCTGAGCAAGTGTGCTTCTCTCCAGAGATGGTTTTAATTCTGTGATAATTTAATTACCTAAAAGTTCTCGTTAACATTTTTACCTCTTTGTTAATAGCAAGAAACTGCTGTCTGCTAGGGACTTTTCAGGTACAGTACAGTGGGCATTACATGAGGTTTATCATTTTATAGGCATCTGGAGCAAAGTGTTTTTAGCATCTTGGAGAAGTATTACGAGTACTCCAAGACGCTGAGGTTTGAGCTCTTGTTCCTGTGATTCTAGGAGAAAACAGTTTGCTTTTTTTTTTTTTTCTCAAAGAACTTGGTTCATTTTCTCTTACGCTTTTTTTATTTCTCCCCACTTCCTGGGCACTTTTCTCCAGCTGTCTTGGCCACCATGCTGATACAGGCATTGGGGGGGGAAGAAGGGATCTGAATCCCTGTCGTTTTGTTTAACATCCGGAAGGATGTTGCAGCTAGCTTCTGAACTGAAGTGTAAATCCGACCTGATCGATTTACAGACCCCAAAATTGTAATCTTGCACTTAAACCTGGAATGTAGTCTTGCACTTAGCCATGTTTCCAGAGACTGGAGCAATGTAAAAGCGATGCTGCTTCACTCGGTCGATCCTCCACGATATTCCTTGGGCAACCGATACAGGGACAAGTTGATTTCTGTTTCAACTTGCACGACAAAAATCGAGTTCAAAATGCGAACAGTAGATGAAGGAGGAAATGTCTTGAATGTATTTTATGGGCACAACAGTTCTGAAGTGTAACTGTACTTGCTTAAGATTCGCTGTCACAAAACCAGGGTTTTTTTGTAACGCCGCTTTACTGAACCACTCGTCAGAGAGTGCTTTGGTTCAAGTGGGCTTTGATTTCCTTTATCTGACCGGAATCAGTAGATGTAGTATCCCAAACATCGCGGTGAACTGAGAACGTGGATGTGGCAGCGTATCTTGAAAACGCATTTTGGTTGTATAGCTACTTTTCCTTTCTAAATGGAAACGTACAAGCCTCATTTAATGCTCTTAAATGTTTGAGGGTGAAATCCAGCATTTCTGGGTTGTTATCCTTCAGCGTGAATGTAATAGATGGCAGAATTCAGCTGTTCATCTTACTATTAACAATGAGAATTTTTCGAAATGACACCGATAACGCGAATAACTGTATGTTTTAGAAGATACGGCGTGTTTGCCACTTATTGCCAAGAATGTCTGTTTTAATTCGAGCAGGTGTCTGGTGCGTGTCGGCAGGTAACCAACGCTGCTGCTAGCTCGCTCGAAGCGCTGCTGGCGTCGAGAGGGAGTTTTCTCGTCGCGGCTGACGTGAGTCACTTGCGAGCGCGGAGTTTCCAAGGAAAGAAACTTGGAACTGCCGGTGCTTAATTCAAATCTGCCCTAAACCGAAAAGAAAAAAAGAAAAAAAAAAAAAAAAGAAGCACTAAGGCTGTTTGTGTTCAACACTTAAACTTGCTGAGAACAGCGTCTGTTCCGCTGATACGCAGTAGGCACCTGGTTTTAAAACCCGTAAAACTTGGGGTCAAAGCGAACTCGGTGTGGGAACCCTTTTGGAAAGAGCATCCCGGTGCACTTCTGTTCTTTTTCCCCTTGTAAAATAACGGTGGTTCTACCTGCCGCGGGCTTTTACGAGTCAAAGTTGTGCTGCGCTGGAGGGTAACGAGGAACAGGCGAGGCTGTATTTGACTCCAGGTTTTCTGGTTCCATATTTAACGGAGTACCTGCTTCTTTAAATCTGGTTTATTTGTGGTTGCTGCTCTGTTTTGTAAGCAAGGATTTTTAACGCCCTTTGAGGGTTCTTAATGTCAAAACATAGTTGACTGGCAACGGTTTGGGGGTTTTTTATTTCTTTGCCGGCACTTAAGTTCACGTGCTGCCATGGCGGGTACAGCTGGGTCGGCTGGGCTCTTCTCTTGGGCTCTGAAGTGTGCACCATTGGAGTAACTGTCCACTAAAAGTCGTCTTGGCCAGGGCTGAACGCGAATAGAAGTCCGTATGTAATACCACTTCTGTATAGAGCAAAACAGATGTAGCAGACTTTAGCTCTCTCGTCGTGTTTGGCATTACGTCGCTCTAGCGAGAGCTCAGTATTTCTCCTAACCTTGTGTGCAGCTGATGTTCCTATATTTCATTAGTTTTGTTGAATTAGCTTGGAAAAAGGATGTCCTTTTCCTGAATCATTTCATAGTTGTGCTTTATGCTTTGGGGGAAAGAACCTCAAATGACTCATGCTTTTGTTTAAGATTTTAGTTGTGTGTTGGTTTTGGGGTTTTTTTTTTTTGTTTTTTTTGGTTGTTTTATTTTTTTTTTAATTGGAAACTTTACGCAACTTCCTTGGCTGCCGGCCAGTGGCTTTGTTTGCTCCCGTCTAGCGACCGGTCCGCCGTTCGCTGGGATTGCGGCTCCGACACTGAGGTTACCCTCAACTCCAGAGGTTTCGGGCTCCTGCCTTACAAATACCGACGCATCTTTGTAAAGCATCGGAGAGAGAGAGAAGGGCGTTATGTTCCAGGCAGGCAAATCTTCCCCTCTCTCTTTTTTTTTTTTTTTTGTTTTTTTTTTAAATTATTTTAAAGGATTGAAACGTTTCGGTGAGAACTTGCTCAGCCCCCTGTGGAGGGCGGAGCAGAGAGTTTTAGATTTCTTGCATTGGTTGGGGAACCGTCTGGTTGATGGTAACCGAAGTGAAAGGCCTTTTAAGTATTAACGGGGAGGAGGAGTGACTCGAAATTGTGAAGACAGGCTCAAAAACTCTGAGGACTCAGGGAAAAATGGCTTGGAAAATCGTAATTCCTGGCTTTTAAGAAAAACAGTGTTGAGGGCAGTGCTCCTGGGGAGTCTGCCGTGTGCCTGTTGAACAGAAACGAGAGTGGAAGAAATGATTGCCATGCGACTGGAGAGCTTTTGGGGTTCTTTCCTGTTTGTCTCCCCCCCCCCCCCTTTTATTTTTTTTTTTATTATTACTTTCTGCGGATAGCACCGAAGGACAGCTATTCCAATGATTTATAAGCAGAATGATGAGATGATTTTTGTATTAGGCTTAAAGCAGACCGTAGGGTTCCGAGAATGGTTAATTGAATATTCGACTTCATGCAGTTTTGATGGTGTGCGAATGGTGGATGAGAAATACTACTTGAATAGTAACAATTTTAAAGTATATTAGAAGCGTCTTTGATTTGACCTTTTCTTTAATATTGGAGTCGTCTGCTCTTGGACACAAAACGAGAACGAAAGAGAAACGCGTAACACTACATTTCATCTTTTTGTTGATCAGTTGCCTTCAGGAATCGTTCTTTGAGGAAAGTCAACCGCATTGTCGATAATTCGGTTGGTTTTTCTCGTGCTTAATTATTTTGATGCGTCCCATTAACTGTTACTGAAAGTTGAATAATCGTCAGTACTGTAAGCCTAGTTTAACCTCGGTCCAAAAAGAAGCCCTGCACTACTTGTTATGCGTCTATACATCGAAGGTGACTTCATTTCAAGGTTTCGTGCCCGTGGCTGGTATTGGTGCTTTTTTGAAGTCCAAGTAGAATATTCAGAAAGGCCTTGTAGCTCTGTATAACGTAAGGAGGGGGGGAAAACAAAACAAAACAAAAAGCTGTTGCATACATTTGTATTGAAATAACATTTTCTTTCCTCCTGCAAGCAAAAAGCTGGTGGACTGCAGAAGACAACCGCATGGGATACCAAGCTCTAATGGACCTTTGGGAAGAGAAGCTGTGGCTTATGTGGAATTTACATGGGCCTCTCGACGGAAGAAAGCTTATCTGTTTAGTATTTGTGCATTTTACTAAAATGGCAGCTTTAAAAAAAAAAAAAAGTTGTGTATCTGCTATTGTGATGCCAATGCCCGTGTTTTAAGTGGAAAAAAAAAAAATGACCTCTTTGCTTTGTGCTGTGTACACAAGATTGCTGGAAAAGTAAAGGAATACCCTTTTTATGGCTCACACAGCTTAAAAGTAGCTGTCACTCAAACATGCGCTCACAGTTGAGCTGATTTTGTTTCATTCTAAATAAATTGTTTCTTTTGAGGAAAATGGTTTTTCTGCCTGGAAGTGAATTGACGACAAACGTTTGCCCCCTTTGGTTGCCGCGGAGGGGTTACTTGCTGCTGCTGCTCAGGCTTTGATCTGCTAGTTGTGGGTCTTGAGCAAGAAGCAGGGAGAAGCGACGTTTGCGCGTTGACCGGCCTCTTGTACCAAATCGGAAG